GTTCGCTTCAGGTTACAAAAGCCGTATCTCATGATCTATGATTTGCGATTTTTCCTGACAAAACAAGTAACGTTTTTAAGACCTAGTTTTCTTTATACCATTTACTATAGTGTACTAATGAATGTCTTTCAGAAATTAGGGAAATACACGCGTATTTTGCGGTACACAGCGAAAAATAATTTTGCCGACAGCTTAAGACAAACATGGCGCAGTAAGAAATCACGCGTTGGTCGTGTAGTTTCTGCGATTTTTCCTGGCTTCACATTATGAGCTAAAAACTAAAACATAGTTTTGTCAAATGCACAATTGTCTGAAGATGGATGTCCTTGACGAATTACGTTTATTCCGTGAAAAGAGACAGAGCAATTCCACATTTTATACGCGACAATTGACCCCGTTTCAGATTCAAATCTGAATATGAATCTGAATTTGAATCTGAAACTGGAATCTGAAACTGTAGAGCGGATCGTCTGATTTAGCCTTTTTCAGAGAATGGGTTTTTTTGCGATTGGGGGGGTGGTGGCACTCGTGGCAGTCGTCTCCCTCCCCCCCCTGGCCACGCCACTGAAGTTGAGGTGAATATTCACCGTAATATAATCACAGAGCCTGAGGCGAATAATTGTTTTAGCATAAATTTTTAATGAATAAAACAAAATATCCAAGTTATCCAACTATTAGTTTAAAATTCAGAAATAAAACTGTTTTCGACCGGTTTACGGTTGCTGTTTTAGTGTTGCAGTGTTTTTTGTACACGCACGTTTTCAAAATGGCTTCCTGTGTGACTTATTGCTTTTATTATTACAAAGTTGTTTTTTTTTCGATTTCTGCTTAGAATATAAACACAATGATGATTGAGAATGACTTTTTCACCAGACTTAAAAAATAGTTTCTGTTTAGCATTAATTTGTTCAGGAAATGGCTGAGAAATTTGGTAAAATGAAATGTAAAACTATATCGTTCGAAATATAAAAGTTTTAAATACACTTTTCACTTTACAAGTTTCAAAAACACAATAGTACAATACAGCGCAAGACACCATACAGCGCAATGAAAACGGCACGACATATCAAAAAAGAAATAGTATCGTACAAATTGAGATATTTATAGAATACAAAACAAAATTGTTTTACTGAAAAGAATATCACGGCTTTTCCCAACAGTTTGGTCTTGGGATAGTTTTGCTCTTTGTTTGGAGTTTTAAATAAGTTTAAATTGTCCGTGAATATGTTTGACACAGTAAAATAATAAAGAAATTCTACCTTTCAAGTTAATTACACCATTTTGTGCTTTTTTCGTTTTCTACGAAGGTTTGTTCGATATTTTGTCGATTTTGAAACCAAATATGCCGAATCATTCTTTTTGAAAAGCATTACCACTAGTCTGCTAGTTGCTGACGCAGCGAGCGAGCCTGAAGCGAACGAGCAAGTCAGCAGTTCTAATTCGTATTAGCCCGAGAAATCACAAGACAAAGAGAAATTCCGCTCCGCGCGCAAAATTCCGCCTAGTGGAAAACCGGCTTAACAATATCTATTCGGGTACAGCAACCACATAAAGCGCATTCAAAAATTAACTCCATTTTAATACAAAATTATTATAAAGTTTTACAAAATTTGCTTTGTTTACAAAAGTTATATTATGCAATAATTGATAATTTGTCCTCCAGATGCATCATCACCACCGCTGTGACGTCATGTGCAATGGGTCTATACAGTGTAAGACTCAGCAGAAATCATCAGAGCATACAATGAATGAGTGAACGAATGAATGAATGAATGAATGAACAACTTTATTTAAAGAGAGTCTCTTGTAAACTAAAGTGCATTTGTTATATTGAATACAAAATACACCAAAACAACTGCATCGTTATAAACTGACTAATGAAATTCCCCGTATTTATAACATCATGCATAAAAAGCATTCTGGTGGGATAATAGCAATACATTCTGCAGTTGGGTTAACAGCAGTGCATTCTGATCGGCGAAACGGAGGTAAAATCTTACTTTCAGAGCTGGAACTAATTAGAAAAGACAAAGAAAAATTTGACTCCGCTCGCAAAATTCCGCCTGGTGGAAAACCGGCTTTAAGCCTGTTTTCCACTAGGCGGAATTTTGCGCGCGGAGCAGAATTTTTCTTGGTCTTTTCTAATTAGTTCCACCCGAGCAATCACAAGACAAAGAAAAATTCCGCTCCGCGCGCAAAATTCCGCCTAGGGGAAAACAGGCTTTAGGGAGCATCTGGAGGACACTTTGAGGATTTGTGACGTCAGTGCAATGGGTCTATATAATGAATCTGCTTATTACAAACAATTTATAACAGCTTTATCTCATTTAGTAGTCAGCAATAAAATCAACGTTGTAATTGTAATTGCATGCCTGAAAGCGTTTAATTATATCAAGCGTTAAAAGCAAATCAATTTCATCACAAATGTTGTCGATCAGTTTGGCATAATTTAAAGCATAGTTAATAGAAATAAACATGGTTAGGAAGGCCAGTAAACTCGGGCTTCAAAGAATTTCCTATTCAAACTTCAACTGATGTTGAAATGTAATTCCGAGTGCACACATCTTTTGTCTTGCGTTTATTAATATTCAAATATTACGGTTCAGCGATTGAAACTAAGCTTTTTATTGGGCAATCGCCTCATTATACAGAATCCGAGGGCACAAATTTCCATAAACTTGGACAAAAACATAGAACAATGACTTTTGTCAAGCTTCCAAACCATGCTTATTTTCTACTAACTATGTTTAAAGACAGGGTTTAGTCATAGATATCTTATATACACTAGATAGTGCATCTCTTTTAGTAAAATTGAAGCCAAGAATATCCCAGCGGTTACCCCCATTTGAATAGATGGCGGCCATGTTGGTCGTTCCCACTTGCTGATAAGCGCTTAAAAACAACAATAACTTTCATCATTTGAATAGTTTAAAAACGTATTTGGAATAGGGTTAACTTAATGTTTAAGTTCCCTGTTTAAGAAATAGAAAACATACGGATCTTCTCATTTCATGGGAACGACCTGAGACTGCAATCACGGCTTCAATTTTTGAATTGCAGTATAATTAGATGCACTATCTAGTGTATATAAGATATCTATGGGTTTAGTCTGTTAACTTTAAATTTGAATATGATTTGATTGATAACAGTATAAGGTAATTGACATGGAGGCATCAACAGGTTCGGCAACTGCCAACTATGACTATAGCATGCTAGTGAGGTGGCTATGTGTAAAATTATTGATCAGTAGTTCCCGTTGAGGCTAAAAGCATCAAACTTTTACAATTGATGTAGTTTTATTTGTTTAATAGATATTTGAAGTGGGGTCATCGCTATTTTGCTGCTAACTCCTGATCGAAAACGGGTGATTAGTGATTTTCTTCTATTGAATTGTATTATAGCCAAAAATGTGAAATTTTGTATTCAAATACAACAAATATGACTTGCATCATCAGAAAGCTTATAAAAACTGCATATAAGACGTTTAGACAGTTTTTGATTTCTGAAATAGTTTTCGAATTATAAACTGTTAACTACGCATTTTCAAACATCGAATAATTAATTAGGGACTTTTTCTGTGTTGGTGTAATGTACTCAGGTGAATATGATGCTTGTGAAGTTACTCTGAGTGTATATCCACACCGAACTAGATTCTGTTCCGAAATATCCACATATTCGAACCGACCAGACCGCGTAACTCAGTTGGCAGATCATTGAGCTAGTATTCCAAAGGTCGTAGGTTCGATTCCTACCGTGGTCAGGCATATTTTTCGGGCTTGCCCGGTGTGGATATACACTCAGAGTAACATCACAAGCATAATTAGGGATTTTTAGCGAGATAATGTGCCTAATTTACAGCAATAACCATTTGAAGAATAAAAAAACTGTTTAAAAGTCTTTTATGTAGTTTTTTACAAGCTTTCTGATGATGCAAGTTATATTTGTCGCGATTGAATTCAAAATTTCACATTTTTTGTTGTAGTAGAATTTAATAGCAAATAATGCTATAACAGCATCGTAGCTCTCTAAAAAAAACAGTTTCACGATGGCCCCACTTTTGCATGTTGTTCTACTCATAAAAGATGCTACTGTGCACAATTTGGTGCTTTTAACCCTCTTTGGAAGCATCCATGCACATATCCGCCACACTATCCCAGTATTTTCGTTTACAAATTACAATGAACAACCACAATTTCTATAATATATCTTAAATTATTCTTTTGAGAGAACCTCCTCAATCATGAAATAAGTCAGTTAAAGCCCTCGAACCTCGGCTGTAAGCCAAATACAGCCTTCGGGTTTCGCCCTCAGGCTGTATCTGGCTAACAGCCTTGGTACTCGGGCTTTAACTCTCACTTACTTTATGGTTTCCGTGTTTGGATGGCCTGATCCAAACACGCGGGAATGTTGCGAGAGTTAAGAAAAGCGCGCGAAAGCACGAGCCGAAGGCGAGTGATTTTGCGCTCTTTTCTTAACTTGAGCAACATTCCCAAGTATTCACAACCATAAAGTAATTGTTTTATAAAATAACAACAACACGATAGTCTTCCGTGTTTGGACGACCTGATCTAAACACGGGTTTCGACCAATCAGAGCACGCGTTATATACATGTTATTTATAAATGTAATTGCTGGTAAGTCAATAGACAATATGTCCAGAAAACAATCCACACTGGGTTGCTCTAGGAATCTTATTACAGTAAGTCTGGTTTAACAACATTCTGCGTTTGTTTTTAAACAATAAATATCTAGAAAATGAACACTATATAAACTCATCGTCTTGGCTGGCTTGGCACATAACAAACAAATAAACTATAAAGTACACTTTGACTCCTTGTATAAATAAGGCATTATTGACGAATAGATATCGGGTGGGCTATTATTAAAACTGCCCGTAAATTCATGAAATCATATTGTTTCTCTTTGTATTCCCATTATAAAGACATTATCAAATGTTCTAAACGAGCATGCGGACAATGGTATATTTCGGGCTGTATAAAGAAGCGCCGATAAACTCATAAAAGCACATTGCTTGCCTCTAGAATAAACGTCAAACAGTTCATCGCCTTGATGAATATTAGCACAAAGAAATAAAGCCATACTAACCTGGTTTCTTCGGGAAGTATTCGTATATTTTGCATTTTCAGATACAGAGTAAAAAGCTTGCAAATTATGTGCACGCAATCCAAATATTTTTCTCGCACTCCCCCCGTCCATCCTCCCCCCCGGAATTACGACATCTGGACAGACACAAGATCTCGATCTCGCCAATACATAGATCGGCGCGAAAGACTGGGTCGAGTGAGCGAGAAACCTTCATGTCAAGATTAGGAGTGCTGCCTTCGGCAGCAATAATATCGCCACGCCCGATTATGAACACATGAAACATTTTACAGCAAAACATAACAAAATTTTAATATATACGATGAAAAGCATCTAATATGAACAACATGCACCTTGAAATAACTATATTACATAAGCGTTCCATTCGCATGCATTCAAAGGTCTTCTTTGGACGTACTTAGTTTGCAAATTGCAAGACAAACATCGAATCATAGTTATTCGAATAAAGTCATCGCTATTGTTTTCAATTTCATCATCAGACACCACACGTGTCTTGCAATTCAAACATATATATATTGTTTATCGACGTCAATAATGCATCCCTCAAGGTATGCAGGCTTAAATATAGCAGAAGGAATGCCTTGCATAGACTAGAGTAACAATGCTAAACAAATAATGTTTTAAAAGTGCACATTATTTTGTTGATACATTATATATGCTCTCATAAGGGACGGACCATTAGAAAAGTGATGGGGGGGGGGGGGTTAATTTTTTTATGTTTGTATTTTTTTCCATTTTGGCAGCTGTGTATGCATGTTTTTTTTAAAATATGTCTTCTCGCATGCAATTTTTTTTTCCAATACAGCTATACAAATGTTAACGAAACTGTTCTCTTGACAAAAAATATCCCTTTAATGCACACTGCAAAATAATATCTTTAAGGATATTTTAGGCTAAACCAGATATCATTTAGTGATATAAGTATGGCAGAACAAATGAGCAAAAGGAAGAAGAAACAAAACATGATAAAAGAAAAGAGCAAGATTAAGTAGAGGAAAAGAAAATGTAGCAGAAGATATTGCCATTGAGATTATATTTATAGATCAGGAAGATAGTGTCAGTTTGATAGATGAAGAGGATAGTGGTAGTTTGATTGTAGATGAAGAAGATAGTGTCAGTTTGATTGTAGATGAAGAAGATAGTGTCAGTTTGATTGTAAATGAAGTGTAAAGTGGTAGTTTGGTTGTAGATCAAGAAGATAGTGTCAGTTTAATTGTAGATCAAGGGAAAAGTGGTAGTTTGGTTGTAGATCAAGAAGATAGTGGCACTGCGATTTCAGGGGCCCCCGGTTCAAAACTTTCGAAGGCCCCCCTAGTAGAAGTGTCAAAGGAACAAGTCAAGCGCCATATATGCACAAGTTTTCTAGGGGGTCCAGAGCATGCTCACCCGGAAAATTTTTGAATCTAGATTCTCTGAAATACCATTTCCCGGAGTTTGGGGAGAGATTTTACAGAGTTCTGATGGTCAGAAAACGACATTGTAACATATCAGAGGCCCTGGCCAATGTTTTTGCTCTATAGCCTGACCCTGGGGCCCCCATTTGGCCCATTGGGGTTGGAGGCCCCCGGGTTCTCCCGGTCCGAGCCCATAGTAGTTACGCCACTGATCGAGGACAGTGGCAGTGTGAACGAGGATTATTAAAGACAATAGAAAATATTTTGATAGTATATAATAAAACTATATAAGAGTTACTGTTAATATTGAAAGAAATTGCATATTAATATATAATATATTTATATATTTATATTTCGTAATATTCCAAAGATTTAGTTCAATTTTGTCTGATGTACATTTAAAATGAAAGTTCTATTGTTGTTCTGTTTGTAATTTTTTTTTAAACAAGTTTGTTTGCATGTATTTTTTTTCAAACATTTTTTGTTTGCATGGATTTTTTTCTGTGTTTTCCCCACCCCCCTCCATCACTTTTCTAATGGTCCGTCCCTAACAACAATTTTGCAACAAGAGTCAGGTGACAACTCTTTAATTGCCCATCTGATTGTAGCCCCACCCTTGTTAATATTCTATTTTGTGGCTCTCGACGACGATTGGAGATCGGAAAACCACTATTGCCGATACGCGAAAAATGCATGTAAACCGGACCTTTGTTCAACCGTCTTGGGCAATAATTTTGACAAGTATTTTGGAACATGATTATTTACTATTTTAAAATATAAAATAAGTTTATGAACCAGATGTCTATAGTTTTCATATCTTCCCAAGCCAGATCTTCCAATACTGTTGATCTAATAGTGCCCCTCATAGCACCCGTGACCACCATGGCTGACTGATATTGTACATGCTCATGAATTAAATTACTTTCATTGTCAGAAAACCCATACCATAAGACATCGGCATATTCTAACAATGCTCTATTAATAACTTAAAGACATTTGTACAAATTTGACAAGGTTTTCAGATTTAATTTAAACTTTAAACCTTTAAGAAATTAATTAAAGTAATTATTCATTATAATAATTAGTTATAAAGTTGCATATGGCTCTCGTTGATAACAGACCATGCCAGTTGTGGTCTGATGAGACCACCCTTCTAAATAAAATTTAAATCTTATCAATTATGCGCAGAATAAGGAATAAAAGGATTACTAAATCTTAGCTATAATAAGTGATCCATTGTGACTGTGGGGGTCTTCCAACATCATTCCCCACACCCTAAAGCAATGGCAATGTCTTTCTTATGGTCTTTAATTAATTTCTGTTTTAACTTCCTCTTCTTCAGCAACATCAATAGTGACATCACTATTTGCATCATTACCCACGGTAGTACATGTTTCTTCACGTGGTGTAGTGACGTCTTTTAATGGCTGAAGATCTTCACGTGAATAATGTTCAATAATAACACAGGCTATGCAGTTCGCCCAAATACTGACAGGAGTGGCGAAGCGATCTCTATAAAAATATGTTACAAATAATTAAAATTACTTTATAAAATTAATATGGCCAAAGTTATATTTGTGTGAATAATGAATTAAAGGCACAGTAGTTTTGTTTCTATTATTTTTTAAAATAATGTAGTTTTTCAACGACATGTGATGCATGCACGTCTTTTACTTTCCCTATGTTTCCGATTTAACTGTGCATAGCGGTTACATCGATATTAAATCTTTCTTTCGACGTCCGCAGAGACAATTCTTTTCAATAGCTGACAGTCTTGACAAATTTCATGATGCTATATGGACATTTATATATGTCCTTAGACTGAGTCTGAGCTAGTATACATCAATAGTTGAACCTCCCTGTGCTCTTTCCTAGTTGCCTAAATTGATAATTAACGTTTGGATACCATGCAGTGAATCATTTATAGTACGTATACGCAACAAGAGGGAGTGAAAAACAGATTTTGTGCACGTCAGTTGTTTGAATTACGTATTAATTTCTATTGTCCTTGGAGGGAGGCGGTTCATTTTTCAATTCTCTTTTGCGTACGTACCAAATGGATGCCACCACCCCCAGCCGCTCGTCTCATTTAGCAAAGCAAACCATGCAGCCTGCTAAATTATTTCGCTTAGCAACTGAATAAAAAAACTGGGGAGGTGCAAGGTTGCTTTGAGCCAAGGGAAATCAGGTAAAATATACTGAGTAGGCATAGAAAGATTGGCCTTGATATACGTATAAATAATAGTGGAGATCTAAATATCAACTGATAAGAAGCGAGGGTTGTTAGGAATAGAAAAGAAATCATATCGCGGATAATTGATGCCGTGCACAGGCTATTGGCAGTAGTGACCTCTTTACATGCAAGATGTGATTGAAATCCGCAATATAGATAATGATAACTATGGTATTAATATGTCAATATAATACACTTAGCTACATAAACCAGTCAATTGCCACTATTAATATCCAATAATTGTCTGCTCTTGGTATCCCAGTGACTTGTATTATTTAGTAACGGATTTTTGTCATTTTTATCATTCCTTTAGATTATATATATATATATATATATATATATATATATATATATATATATATATATATATATATATATATATATATATATATATATATATATATATATATATATATATATATAATCTGTCTATTAATAATTAAATCAATATAATAAACTTACACAAACCAGTCAATTGCCACTATTAATCCAATATCTGCTTTAGGTATCCCAATGATTGGTAAGACAAGCCCATGAACAGCTAGTGGTGTAGAAGCAGGTACAGGTGGGGCAGCAAGTGTTGCTATTGACGACGATAAACTAGCAAAAGACAATATAAAAGTTTTTTTATTTTGGAGTAGAGGACAAAAAGTTAGTTAATTAATAGGTTCTTTAACATTTTTCGGTTTTCTCTCTTCATTCGCGAGATATGCGGCTCTAAACACTGAGTAAACAGCGATTTTCGTGAAAATGTCGCGTATCAACACGAGTCTGAGACGAGCGTGGTGTGACGTAGCTTAAGGGACTTAATTTGGACGCGCATTATTCATTCGTTTATATTTGGTATATATATACCAGCACTCATGGTTCTCAATGTGACTCAGATGACTCAGAATACAATTATATTCCTGGGTATATTATAGAGGATGAATCAAATGATATCAGTCACGAAATTGGAACTCTAGAAGCGGTTGATAGCGAAATTTTAGGCGATTATTAATTTATGATGCATGCCTTTTATATAAGCCGTTGAACCGCAAGCAGGCGAAGAATGGTACGCGCGATATCTAAAAAAATATGCGGAACACAAGGAACAAAACGAGATGCTACAGTGAAGATTAGGCGGCCTAATGGACCATTTGCATTATAGACTAAATTTTGATCTAAACAAGTCTAGACAAAAATTTCGTTGCGAAATGTTGTATAAAATGCGGATAATATAGCCTTGCGAAATTTGCAATTTTCAGTCATTTTGTATTACAAACGGGAAATTGATGCCCCAACACCCAATTGGGCTGTCAATTTCCCGTGCGTAATACAAAATGACTGAAAAACGGCAAACTTCGCAAGGCTATATTATGGTAATAGTAATGGTAATGGTAATGGTTTATTAACACATTTAGTAGTAGTTACGCTAATTTACAATGTGTTTACAAATTTGGGTATAAAAAGGTATATATTCTATATATTTACATGTCATTCATTAAAATTAAAGTTTTACTAATCTATATCTATTTACAATATGTATAAAAACTACTAATGCATACCTATTTGTACATTAACTGATAAAATTTTAAAAATGATGATCCTAATCAACTAATCTAGAATTATATAAGTATATACAGTAAATTAAAGGACTGTGTTTAAAACGTTCGGTTTTAGAGAGGAAATTATATAATTTCTCACTGTTAGTTCTTGTTTCTTTTTGCCTAATGTATTTTAGTTTCTTTGGTAAGAGGCTATGAAGTTTATGGTTTGGTTCCAGCATTTTTTTAATTAGAGATACACATAATTCGTCCCTACGTTCTTCCAAAGTTTGTAATTTTGTCTCAGTTATTGCTTGGTCGTAGTCTAGGTTTGGGTAAATTATTCTAAGTACTCGTTTTTGAATTCGTTCAATGCTCTTTTTCTGCTCTTGGGTAGACCTCCGTTCCAAATCTCTGCACCATATTCTAAAATAGGACGAATTACTGAACAGTAAAATGCTAACAAATCATCCATGGGGGCACCATAAGTCTTCAGGATCTTTAATAAATACAGACGCTTGGCCGCTTTCTTCGTAATATATTCCGTATTAGTTTTCCATTTAAGATCGCAATCTAACCATATTCCCAGTAACTTATATGACTTCGTTCGAGAAACATTATGACCACCAACATAAATTGGGGGTATAGGGGTTATATTTTTCCTAAAGTCAATAATCATCTCCATACACTTTTTATAGTTTAGTTCCATTCCTTCGTCCTTTGCAAACTGTACCACCTTGTCTACGTTCATTTGAGTATTACCGATTGGGATGCCACCTAAATGGTCACTGACATTGATTACTTCCGATAATGTTGTGTCATCCATAAACATCGCTACGTCCTGGTCTTCTACGGCATTACATATTTGATCTTGGTTATTGGGTATAATAGACGTTGGTAATTGGTTTATTTTTATTATAAACGCAATAGGACCCAACTTACTCCCTTGTGGAACGCCTCCCTTGATTATCCCCATTTTACAAAATTTCGCAACGAAACTTTGGAATATTACTAATTTTGTGATGCTCTTTCAAACTGTTATGAAATTTTTGTCCAGATCAAAATTTAGTCTATAATGAAAATGGTCCATTGAATATATTAAATCATGGTGAGCATAAACATAGATTTATTTTAAATTACTGAAAATAAGTATCTCTGGCTGATGTATTCTGATACGGCATCAGTCATATCACAGAGTTCAAACCACACTTCCCTCACCTTCGCGAGCAAATACAAGAGACTCTATAGAAGATATAAACAGACCAGTTCAGAGCGAATGTATGTATTCTTTTTTCAAGCTACTGTGTTTGTCTATTTGTAATCACGTTTATTTAACAAGCTTCGTGTGTATTTTGTATATGTGTTATCACACAATGCCCGCATTTACACTGACTTGTGAAATAAAGTCAAAATATATCAGCCAGAGATACTTATTTTACGTTAAAATGTTAAAATAAATCTAAGTTTATGCTCACCATGATTTAATATCTTCAAGGCCGTCTAATCTTCGCTGTAGCATCTCGTTTTGTTCCTTGTGTTCCGCATATTCATTTAGATATCGCGATCGTGCGTAGCATTCTTCGTCGGCTTAGTAGCGGTTCATCGGCAATAAGGCATGCATCATAATCGTCTAAAATTTCTCTATTAACTGCTTCTAGAATTCCAATTTCGTGACTGCATGGTATCATTTGATTCATCCTCTATAGTATACCCAGGAAAGGGAGTATCTATTTGGAGCGGGGAGCGGGTAAAAGGAGCGGGTAATTAAAAAAGGGGCGGGTAAAAGGAGCGGGTAATTAAAAAGGAGCGGGTAATTTTCCCAGCGGGTAATTTTGCATAGATATATATAGCTGAAGATTATCTCTATTTGGCCTGGAAGTTTGGTGAAGGTAGCGTTCAAAGTCGCTGAGATATAAGAGCTTAATTTTGGTCGCGGGAATACATGTACAATTCTCACAATATTTAGGTCGTTCAAAATCGAAAAGCAGAATTGATCCCCACTGGAAGAAAAATTGAATGTTCCGACCTCTATACCTCGGAATACTGGCAGGAATATTAGTAATATTCGTGGATATTCTGAGGTATTCGCTCGGAATATTTCCGGAATACTCGTAGTATTCTGCGCAGAATATGTCGGAATAAACTACACCAGATATTCCGAAGCAGAATACTGTCGGAATACTATATATCAAATGCTACAAAATTTACAAATTTAGTTGAATATTTTGCTGTTAAATTAATTTCTTTAGCTTAATCAACGACTTTGAACGCTCCCTTCACCAAACATTCAGGCCGAATAGCGAGGACCTTCAACTATCGCCATGCAAACTTTCATGACAGCAACGTTAATAGTTTGTGAGAATTGTACACGTATTCCTGCGACCAAAATTATGCTCTTATATCTCAGCGACTTTGAACGCTATCTTCACCAAACTTTCATCAGGCCAAATAAAGATGTCCATGCAAAATTACCTGCTGTGAAAATTACCCGCTCCTTTTTTAATTACCCGCTCCTTTTTTAGTTACCCACTTTTAATTTTCCCAGGTGCTAAGCGCCGGTGGGGAAGTTTAAAGTAGTCTAGGACCTGTATATGAGTTTGTATGCGATTCATTTAGGACAGGTAATCTCAACTGTTTTAGGGTAAAATGACCATGGCGGTCAACATGGCATATGTGCGAAAACCTGAATCCGGGACGAAAGTCCTGAAAATGACCCCGCCCTGAAACGGCAGTGTCGACATAGCTCTAACTTCCGAAAAGGAAAAGCGATAGCCTTTCTGACGTGCTTATCGTGCTTAGAAGGGTTACTTTTAGGGGTGGTCATTGGAAGGAAAAATTTGTCGAAGTATAATATTTTACCAGAAATTATGCTATGCACCACCCCAGGTAAATTGCTGATTATGCACAAAATAACTAATATGCCTGGCAGAAATTAAATATTCTTATTTCCTAAAAAAAATTATCATGGGGTGAAAAACTATGCTTAATTTAATATAAATATTGTTGATTTCATAAGGATTGTCATTGTTTTCTTTAAATATAATACATTTTATTTCACTTACCCCCCCACGAAAACACGATTTCAGCCATATTTTGCCGTCTTGTTTGCTTTTTATCGCCGAATCTCGCAAATATCATCCAGTTATTGTACTTTTACATAATCATAAATGGCTGAAGAAGATTTCAAAGAAGATTTCATCCACTTTTGTAACAGTGCAGTGTATTTTACCTTCGATATTGTGTCCTTCGATATTCCGCCAAATTGCCGCCATTTTAATGGCTCGCCGCTTCTCTGTCTGATAACTGCAACTTCTTCGTTTCCATATGTATTTAGATTACAGTATCCAAGAGTACTTCATTGTAGAATAGTCCCAATCCAAAAATTGGCAACATTTGTCCCATTAGGAAGGAAAAATCCTCCCGTATACCATTTAGGTTCAAAATAAAAAACAAATCATTTGAAAGTCACGCGCAATCTTCGCGAAAACTTCTCGTGGACACATGACAGGGGGGGGTTGAATATTTTCACGAATATGTTCGCCACCACAGAAACATAACTAAATATATTGTATTTATTGTATTTTTATGATTTATGACAAAACTACGCAAATATTTATTGTTTTTATCATAAATCATAAAAATACAATAAATACAATATATTTAGTTATGTTTCTGTGGTGGCGAACAAACGTTTCGTGAAAATATTCACCCCCCCCCCTGTTATGTAACCCACGAGGTGTTTTCGCGAACTTGCGCGTGACTTTTAAATTATTTCTTTTGAATTATAACAGGTCAATTGTACTGGGAGGTTTTTTCCTCCCAAGTACAAATAATATTTCCAATTTTTGGATTGGGACTATTCTACAATGAAGTACTCTTGGATAATGTAATCTAAATACATATGAAAACGAAGAAGTGGCATTTATCGGGCAGAGAAGCGGCGATCCATTAAAATGGCGGCAATTTGACGAGATATCGAAGGACACATTATCGAAGATTAAATACACTGCACTGTTTCAAAAGTGGATGAAACCTTCTTTGAAATCTTCTTCAGCCATTTATGATTATGTAAAAGTACAATAACTGGATGATATTTGCGAGATTCGGCGATAAAAAGCAAACAAGACGGCAAAATATGGCTGAAATCGTGTTTTCGTGGGGGTAAGTGAAATAAAATGTATTATATTTAAAGAAAACAATGACAATCCTTATGAAATCAACAATATTTATATTAAATTAAGCATAGTTTTTCACCCCATGATAATTTTTTTTAGGAAATAAGAATATTTCATTTCTGCCAGGCATATTAGTTATTTTGTGCATAATCAGCAATTTACCTGGGGTGGTGCATAGTCATTTTCTGGTAAAATATTATACTTCGACAAATTTTTCCTTCCAATGACCACCCCTAAAAGCAACCCTTCTAAACACTATAAGCACTTCAGAAAGGCTCTCGCTTTTCCTTTTCGGAAGTTAGAGCTATGTCGACACTGCCGTTTCAGGGTGGGGTCATTTTCAGGACTTTCGTCCCGGATTCAGGTTTTCGCACATATGCCATGTTGACCGCCATGGTCATTTTACCCTAAAACAGTTGAGATTACCTGTCCTAAATGAATCGCATACAAACTCATATACAGGTCCTAGACTACAGCAAAAATCGCAATATATTTCAACAGTTTTTAATACGGCGCGTTGAGAATAAATAGCTTGAATAATAATGAGCCGCACTGATTCGCGCGTTTCATTTCGGGAAGACCCTCATTCCTCCTCTGAACTCGCATCTTCACACCACGCTCGATCCAGACTCTTGTTGATACGCGATATTTTCACAAAAATCGCTGTTTTTAACAGAGCCCCATATCTCGCAAATGAAAAGAAAATAAAGAAAAATGTTAAAGAACCTATTAACTAACTTTTTGTCCTCTACTCAAAAGTCAAAATTTTTTTGTGACATAAGCACTTTAATACTAGCGGGTTAGTTTAGTTTTACAATTTATAACAAACAGTAGTATATAAGTTGATTTTATATTCACCAGATAATGACGGACGAGGTGAAAGTCAGCATGTTGGGATGAAAGGTCTGGACAAGAAATATAGCAGATACGGCGATATAAATTGCTGCGCCAGAAACGTTTGTTACTGTTGCAACTGGAAGCAGAAATTCAGCCAGACGTCTGTCAACAAACTTTTTCTTCTCAAAACAAGACAGAGTGATAGGAATGGTGGCACAGCTAAAAAAAGTAAAACAGAAATATCAACCGTTTGTTGTTAATAATGGCAGGAGATCTTAACAAACTGAATATTAGTACCTTATTAAACCAACTATCCCTTTTTCAAATGGTTAAAGCACCTACCAGAGGCGATAAGATATTAGACGTCTTTATCACGAATACTCCACATTATTGGAAGAAAATAAAAGTCGCAAAAAGCTTAGTAAGATCTGATCACAAAATGATTATAGAATATCCTCGAGAAGTTATCAAAGCAAAGAGAACGTACTCATGTAAGATGTAAGACATCACAGATAATTGGATATGTGGAGAGAACTAGAGGACGTTGATTGGAATGATATCCGTAAGGAAGAGGAATCTGTGGATGAAATGGTTGAAAAACTTTACAATTCCATATGGCCAAAATTTGAGAAAAGCTTCCCGATGATTAAAGTTCGTACATCCACAAGAGATCCACCATTTATGTCTCCCTTGGTTAGACATCTACTATAAAGCAAAGAAAGCGAGCAACAAGGCAAGAAACAGTGAAGCTAACACTCGTTTGCAAGGTAGGATTAATGATCTCATCCGTTAAAATCAACTTAATGCTGTGCGGAATGAAAACCAAAAATATAAATCAGGATCAAAAGCTTGGTGGTCCAATATCAACAAAATCACTGGCAGAAAAGATAACAAAATACCGGTTACATCTTTCATAGATCCCAATGAAATAAATAGTTTCTTCCATAACCTATGTACTGATCCATATTATGAATCTCCAGAATTACTACAAATTCCCGAGGGTACATACTAGAGTTCCTTCGCGTACTGTCGAAATGGTTTTCAAGTTTCTTCAAGAACAAAAATGTACATCATCAGGTCCCGCGATGATCTCCCATATTGGTTCTGGAGAGAATTTGCGACTGAATTAGCATCAACCATCACTCAAATATTTAACTCATCACTAATAGCTGGTAAGGTACCTATGGCATGGAAACAAGCTAATCTGCTACCAGTTCTTAAAGAACCTACCTTAGTTAATTGCAATCAGCTAAGACCCATTTCGCTGACCGATATAATCATGAGAATATTTGAGAAATGTATATATAAAACTGAAATTGTTCATTCTATCCTTGATACTATTGGATCAGACCAATTTGCTTACAAGGAAGGCCATAACACCACAATGGCCTTAATCAAGTGCCAACATACGTCATTAAAATGGTTAGAAAACGGTGCGAAATATGTGAGAGTTTTTTCATTTGACTTCAAAAAAGCCTTCGACAGCGTGCCGCACGATATTCTCTGTAGTAAATTAAAACGCCTTCCTCTTAATCCATGTGTTATCAACTGGATTGTTAACTTTTTGAAGGATCGTCACCAGAGAGTAAAGGTAGATGGAATTCAAACGGACTATGTGAAAATTAATAGAGGAGTTCCTCAGGGAACTGTTTTAGGTCCAGTATTGTTTTCAATAATGATAGATGATATCAAACCAGCCAATCTTCAAAACGAATTAGGGAAATTTGCTGTGATGATCTGACATTGGAAGTCCCCGGGTATTATTATGGAGACTCATCAATGATCGAAATTAACAATATTGAAGAATGGTCCGTAAGAAATAGAATGCATATTAATATGGAAAAAACGTACGAAATGGTCATTCGGGGAAAATCTCAACACCCTTACCAGCTGTTGTTCCGCATATTAAACGCAAATCATTATTCACCTGAGCACACAACACCAACACAGAAAAAATCATATTACTACCGGTAGATTACATTTTGTATCGAAGGAACTAGATTCTGTTCCAAAATATCACTTTCTCGAACCGACTTGACCGCGTAGCTCAGTTGGCAGAGCATTGGGCTAGTATTTCAAAGGTCGTAGGTTCGATTCCCACCGTGGCCGGGCATATTTTTTCAAGCTCTCCCGGTTTGGATATACTTAATAATATGTAAATAGTGGTAAACATTTTTATATCGATACATAAATCCATAAAAATCCTGTAAACTCAAACGTGTGATTTGAGTATAGATTTAAAATTATCTTAATAAAGACTACTATCTATAACCATAGGCGTACTAGCCAAGGGAAAGGGGTAATTTCCATGGTTTTTTTGGAAACCATGGAAATTCGGGAAAATACTAGGGAAAAAAAATCGGCCATATTTATCAGAGAATAGGTTCAACATACGCTACCAATCTAAATCGTATATTTTTATTGCAAAAACGTGTCATTTGTAAAGTCTCTTACGACGAACACACAAATTCATTATTTAAGAACCTACGAATATTGAAGTTTAGGGATACTTATTTATTAAGTTTAGGTAAATTTATGTATTCTTTTTCCAAAGGTTTGCTTCCCACCATTTTTAACGACTTTTATGCATTATCCAATGAAATACACCCGTATGATACTCGTAGCTCTAAGTTATTTCATATTCCATATTGTCGTACCAATACTAGACAGTTCTTTGTGAGTTACCAAGGACCTAACTTTTTTAACTCACTGAGCTCAGATCTGCATACTGCTGCTTCAGTTTCGAGTTTTCAATTTCAGCTTAAACATCTTGTTTCAAAATATTAGTCTCACAATTATTATATTTTATATAGTTTTATTAATATTTATGTATCTAAACTATTAATTTGCTTGTTAAATATATTCCGATCTTCTTCTAAATTTTCTATAAATATTACACTGTATATATAGCTACATAAGTAAGAGGTGCCCAACGTTTTATATTAAGCTTTGCTTCCAGTTGGGCATCCTCGCCACCTTTTAGACATTTCTTTTGTTATTTTTGTTCTTTACTGTATGTTTTGTTGTGTGGTGAATTAAATTCTATCTTCTTCTTCTATCTTACATTTTGAACTGCTGTATTTTTTAAAATATGATGTACTGTCTGAATATCTAACACCATTTTGGTTCGCTATGCTTCCAAATGAATATGAAATAGTGTTTATGTTCAGAAAAATTCGAAACATTCGAAATTTGGGCAATGTTTACATGAGAGGGTCCTCACATTGTTATGAGCAGAACAGATGCGCAGAACGGACTTGACTTCCACTTTAAAATTCCTTGATTCTACAATTTTTGGTGACGTTTTGCAAAATGATATCTTTCTGTAGTCATAAATGAGGCTATGGTCACTCACACCCAAATGTACCATCCCAGAATTAATAATATTTTCTGGCTTATCAGTAAAGAACAACTGAACAAGTCCAACAATGTTTGCGTTTCTTCCGTAATACGTGTTGCCTCTGTAATTATCTGCTTAAGTTGAAATAAATTAGCGATATCCAGAATTTTTTATATTGAGTCGATTTACTGCTAAAAGATTGCAGTTAAAATCAAAGACCAAAATAATTTCCTTATTCTCGTCGTCTAAGTTTTCAATTAAATTTTCAATAGTGTCAAATGTCTCAATTCTGGAGTTAGGTGGTCTACTGTAAGGATGTTACAATTATCGATTTTGATAAAAACTTTGTTAACTTCAATACAAACCGCTTCTAGATTTTCAGGGACCAAGTCACAACGTTCTTTTACATTGAGATGATCCCTAGCAAAGTATATCGCTTCACCACGTCCCTCACGTGAACGATCTTTGCGCCCAATGTTATATCCTATGGCTTATATATGAAGTATGTTATTATCTACACTATGGTCTAATCTAGTTTCATTAATTAACAATTAAAATGTCTGGTGGTTTGTCGTGCAGATAAAATCTCAATTGTTTGATATGCTTTGTGAGGGAAGTGATGTTAATATGGCCGACACGAAAACCTTAATTAAATTTCTTAATTAAGCTCATTGCAAATAGTATTTTCATTTAAATTATCAAGTGATATATCATGTATGATATTATTGTCATATTTATTTTTTCAGAAAGATAGATATAATTTTCGTTTGATTTACAAAGCTTCAGGGACGCCGGAACTGGGGGGG